GAATTCCCCAGCCAGCCTGGGAGTTGAAGTCCACCTGTCATAAAGTTGCCAAGGTTGAGGAACCCTGATTTAGACATTATACACTGCCCAGCTTATGTCCTTATGACCCTGTATAAAACGTTGAGTCTAATTCTAGGCACTGCATTTTAGGAAGAACATCGACGAACTGGATGTTGAACTGGATGAACAGGGCAGGCACGCTCCAGGTCCCTTCTGCAGAACGGTGTCATATCTATCTATCCATCCATCCATCTATCTATTATCTATCTATCTATCTATCTATCTCTTCTATTCAATCCAAACTTATGAGACTGTACAGGCAGGTCTTCTTTGTCATAGAGCTGCCCTTGGGTCACCCAGTTTTTTTCAACCTTGGCAAGGTTGCAAGCTGCAGGCTGGGGAATTCTGGGAGTTGAAGTCCACACAGCTTAAAGTTGCCAAGGTTGAAAAAAAACGGAATAACCTGACCCTGTTGGCCTTTCAGACGTCTTAAAAACCTGGTTTCTTCCCTTGGGGTTCAGGGCTAAGAATGTTGTGGATCCTGCTTTGTGGTATAGCCCTGCACTAATTATGCACGTTCGTTTTTTCACCTGGCCCCTTTTACTGGGTTTTTTTTTCTATTATTTTTATGGGTAGGTTTCTGTTCTTATGCCCGTTAGGCGGCCAGAATTATTTCTTTAAGATGGGTGGCCAGATCCATCTGTATCATAGATAAACCGACCGACCGACCTAGCTAAATTGGAGCTGGGCGTTGAAGTCCACCCGTTGTGAAGTCCAACAACTGTGGCAGGCTACTTAAAAAATCCCAAACCTGCATTGAAAACACATATAAATAGTCATTTATTCATTGACTGATTTAATTTTATTTATTTATTTATTTAAAGGAGAACAAGCAGCAGTTCAAAAAGGAAAGAGGTACGTCGCAGTAATGTGATGGCGGGAATAGGATTACTCTGTGCGTCGAACCATTTCCCCCTTCCGTCCCATTCAGCGTTACAGGCGGAAAGGCGCCCGAGCTTTTTGTGAAAGACAAAATCTCCTTATATTTCTCTCCCTCTTTTTAAAGCAGCCGATTAGCTCTTTAATTTTTGGCTCTTTCGTGGTGCTCAGGGGCAGCCCATGGAACCTTTTGCAAGGGGAACCGAACTGTAGCCTGCACCGGTTCTCCATATAAGCCAGACATACTTTCTGTTATCAGCTGCCGCGGGCCGACTGACAGTTCTTAATTAAGCAGCTTTGTTAATGAGGGAAGGAAACCGCCAGCTCCGTTTAATCCCCTTTATCCCCCATCTGCATTTGTCAGGGGCGTCTTTATCGCCTTCTCGGTCCCTATCACGATCCAAGGAGGACGAGGCAAACCTGCAGCCAGGAGAGGTATAATTGCAAATGTCGTCAGGCCGCAGAGTTTCCTTAAGCTGGCTTGTACAAAACAGGGCTGCTGATTCTCAGCTGGCAGAGGCTGCGTGGGTAGAGAAGTGGGAAGAAGGTACAGCCGCTCCCGGCCAGAAGGAAATACCTGCTCTGAATACCGACGGTCACAAGGACGGAACTCGGAACACCCGCCTTTGAAAAAGGAAAAAGCAGAAGCAAATTAGCAGGAAGTGGTTCTGGAAGCATCGAAAAATAAGCAAAGGTGATTTGTGCCGGCCACGTATCCCTCCTTGGCACACTCCGACGGAGAGATCTGAAGGTTTGGAAAACCGCCTGGGAAATCTGCAGAAACAAAACATTTTTTCCCCCATTTTTCCCCGCAGGTCTGTTTTGCAAGTTCCCCTTTTTCTCCCCCAAATTAAGAAATGATTACAAAGCGTTTCCTACGATTTTGCTTTTCAATTTGATGTCTGGTCTCAGGCGGACTCTTTGGCCTGGCAGATTTAACGATGGTGTGTGTGCTTTTGGAAGAGACAGATGTTCTCATTCTTTCAGAATTAGCTTCGCTCCCCATCTCAGTCCAGAATGTGGTGTAGATCAGTGTTTCTTAACCTTGGCCACTTGAAGATGTGTGGACTTCAATTCCCAGAATTCCCCAGCCAGCACAGCTGGCTGGGGAATTCTGGGAGCTGAAGTCCACACATCTTAACGTTGCTGAGGTTGAGAAACAATTTTAGAGATTCCAGAAAAAGGGAGGGTGTACAAATCCATTGAAACAAAACCTGCCCATCCTTTGACAAACCCCCTTTCTGCCCCCCACCCCAAAATCCAGCCACGTTATGAAATCTGTAGGGCTTTAGTAAAATTAGGCACTTTGGCACTCAAAAGTTTAATTGTATTCCCTGGAAGATCTGAGGTTTCTCTCAAAGTGCTTCTCCAAGTGGACTTTCTTGAATCAGAGGTGGGGGAGAAGGGAGGGGTTCAGATACTCCCCCCAAGTAAAGGGTGCCATTATTTTTCCAGAAGCTCCCCTCCGCCCTGTTGCGGGTTTCCTTTTCTGCCTCGTGGCGTGCATTAAGTCCATGTCTGTCCTTTCTTTATTTAGCCTGAGATCAAGAGACCCTGACCTTAGATCTGCCATGCAACATCCCAACATCCAACTGGCAGAGGAAGAGGAATCCATGCCCGCAGGGTGCTCTGGTCACCCCAGTAGGTTGGGTCACCCCTGGGAAGATTCACAAGGATCCTTCGCTGGACACCAGGTGAGCCACCCGCCCATCCTACAGACTGTGAGGACAGGGTGCACAGCCCCCCCAAGTCCAGGGGGAGGCTGCGGGGCTGAGATGCCAGGCGAAGGTAGCCTGCTGCATTCTGCGAATTTCGCTACGTGCTTCCCAACACAGCCAAAACAAGGCGAACCCAGCAGCGGACTTGGGAGCCAAACTTTGCATCCCTGATTCCAGAACACGGTTCTCCATGGTGCGAGACTTCAAAGCCAGTCGATCTTCCTGAGTGACGGTTGGCAAGAGCCAACTGTTGGGGTAACTCTACTGCAGAAGCAGGAAGAGAGGCGAATGGCGTATGTGGCTTTTCAGGGGGAAAAACCACTGAGCGAAGGCTGAGGCTTAGGGAGGGGCATGGGGCTGTCTGGTCGCCGACGGGTGGTGTCTGGTTTCCCCTGGACCCCACCCACGGTCTCTGCATCTCTCCCCGCTGCTGTCAAACACTTGGCAATTGTTGGCGTGGGGCTCTTCTCGTGTCCGTTGGCAAGGGCACCCGGGGGAGCCGAGGGCCAAGGGGGACCAGTGTCTCTTGGTGTGCTGGATAATCTCAGCTCGCCTTGGAGAGGGCCGTGCCCGAGAGGGCTCTGCCCCACAGAAAGAGCCTCTCCCAACTCGCTGAGTTTCAGGAGACTTTCCAGAACAGGCGCTTCGTCACTTTCTGCTGTTGTGGTGGCCCTTTCTGGGGAAGGGCGCGGTCCAGTCCTTAAACCACAACACAACTGGGGCTCTTCCCCAGTGGATCCTGCTGGCAAAGGGCTGAGCTGCTCGGTCCAGCTGGACGTGCCAGACTTCCCCGTCCCATCATCCCCCGAGTCTGCTGTGCTCCTGTGGCCAGTGGACTCTCCATGCTGTGGGAGGGGGGTCTCCTCTGGTGCAGCCCCACCTCTACGGCCTTCCTGGCCAGCTGGGACTTGAACCGCCTGGTGGCAGAGGGGACAGGTGTCTTGGACGTAGAACCACTTGCGGAGGCAGCCCTCGTGGAAAAAGTGGCCACACTGCATGATCACGGCGAGGGCCATCTCCTGAAAAAGGCAGAACGGGGGTGAGGAGGAGAGACCTCGGACAGGTCTCAGCTCGAAGGGGATTGCAAGGGAACGGCTGAAGCTCATTGTGGATCCCCAGAGCTCATTCTCAGCCAGGTTGAAAAGCTTGAGCGGTTGGGCCAAGGAGCAGCACAAGTCGTTCATCTATAGTGAAGATCCCGGTGGCCCACTTTGGGGGATACTAGATTGGGAAGTGGCCACCCCATGCAGCTCAAAAATCAGGAGCCACAGCTCACGAATAAAATGCGTTAGCTGGGAAAGGGGCTTCCAGGCTCCTTCTGATTTGGGGAGGGGGGAAGAGTATTCCATAAGTTGGGGGCTCTTGCAGAGAAGGCCTGTCATCCCATTCCTGCCCCACAGACCTCACGAGGGGAGGGGACTTTGAGCAGGCCCTTTCTCAGTGACCAGACTGGACCAGATTTGATGGATCTGCTTTGTACCCCCTTCCTGATCAATTTTGTGATCAATCACCCTGTGTTTTGAGGCTCCTCCGAGGGGCAAAGAGGGCTGCTCCCAGAGAGCAGAAAGTGGAGCACCCGGCTCTGAAGGAGGGGTCCGGAAACACAAGGCTGATCCCGATGGGCATGGGTCAGTTGTGCTGGACCACAACACCCATCATGCCACGCACCCGTAACGCAGGACCGTCCCTGATGAGGGAAATGGGGGCTGCATTCCCATAGATTGAAGGTGCAGGGAGGATGTCACAGCCACAGAGAAGGGGCATCTGGAAGGAGGATCGGAGTTAGGTGAAGGTCGGGTCTCTCATCCTGCAGCTCGGTCAAACGACGCTGCTGTGCAACTTTATGCCACAATAAAGTGGTTTTTAAGATGCGGAAAGAGCCCCTGGGACTCCTAGCCTTAGTGGTTATGGGTGACGGCCTTCGTTCCCCCTAAAATCTGACTCTTGAACGGATTCGAAATAAACGCTGCAAGCAAAGACGTTTGTGTGACTGAATGTACATTTAAGAGACTGCAGAATCCTGGCTACCTTGGGAGATGAACTAATGTGGGTGGAGAATACATAGAGCAGTGTTTCTCAACCTTGGCCACTCAAAGAGGTGTGGACTTCAACTCCCAGAGTTCCCCAG